AATAAAAAGGCAAGCAAAGCAAAGCGCAGACTACTTGTTTTCTTCTTTTTTTTCTTCGCTATAAGAGAGAGAGAGAGAGAGAAAATGAAACAATATTTTTCTATAAAAAAAGGGAATTTCTTTTAGTTATTTATTTGAATGACCAGAAAAAAGAAACCGAATATGAAGAAATTACGAGCTTATCAGCTGGATTCATTTTCTTCTCTCGGCATTAAGAAATCCCAACTTTTCCCATGGAAGATAACAGTCAACAGGTATGAACTAGATCATGACGATAACATTCAACGTGAAAAATTATATTTTGTTTAGGGTAAAGTACACATATGATCCCTAATTATAAGATATTGTTTTGTTGAGTCTTTCAATTATTAAAATTATAAAATGGTCCCCGAACTATAGAGAGTTTTTTTTGTTCAATCCGTTAACTATTAAAAGTTATAAAATGGTCACCCAACTATTCATTATGTTCCAAACACATTCTTTTTTAATAAAAAGTAATGGACGTCTAAGTTGGATGCTAGTATGCTGACTGAGATATGATAGTAGTTTGAGATTATGATATCAGATTTTTATCATGTCTCAGTTGGCAGATTAATGTTTGGTTCAGACTATCGTTAATTTTTTAACGAAAAAGACGAGTTTGGAACATAATGAATAGTCGAATGATCATTTTGTAACTTCTAATAGTCGAGGGACTCAACAAAGTAACTCCCAATACTCGAGGACCACTGTGTAATTTTTCATAGTTAAAGGACTTAACAAAATAGTATCTTATAGTAAGAGGATCATTTTTGTATTTTTACCTTTTTTGTAAATACATGGATGATGGTTTATATATGAATATCCCATCTTTATGTAAAGATTTTAAATTATTTTATTTAAAATTTATTTAAACAATGGAAAATGATAAATAATAACATTATATTAGTAGTGATGACCAAATGAAATGATAATTTTTAGTTATTTATGAATTAAGTTATAGTTTATTAATTTGTGATATTATTTCAGTCAACAAAATAAATAAATCAAAATCAAATTTTGTTCATAATATCTTATAAGGGCTTTTGTACCTAGCCGTTGCCCAGGTTTGTTAGGTCATCGAACAAAGGGCAAGGGAGACATTAGGTTCGGGATCCAGTCTCCCATGAAACCCTATATATTTAACATTATATTAAAATTGTCGTACTTGAGACATTCCTAGAGATAACCTCTTAATATTAGGAACGAAGTAGGAAGAGTTTTAGTATTATTGAATGGATGGACACACGAATTTATGTTAAAGAATATAAATTTAAGAAATTATATTAAAAATTTAAAAATCATAAAATTATAAAATGTCATAGATATGAAATTAAATCATTAATAAAAAAACATATTAAATATAAAGAAATTTAAATTTTCTAAGCATTCGACTACACCCTCTGACACCATCCCTACCCACCAGTTTATGTGTTTTCTGTTAAACACAACTCCTTCAGCAATCCAAGCATCCACATGCAATCAACAAAGAATAATTTAGGTCAAAAGGTAATTTCCTGTTATTATTTATGATAAAAATTAATCATTAAAAAGTTATTATATTTTTTAGTTAACATTGTATTCATGTTATTTGCTTTAAGGAATAAATAAATTTCTGTAACGTAAAAATTTATTATATTAATATAACTACATACTAAGGTCATCTAATATTACCAAGTGTACGTAACATTCATAGTTTTCTCTCCTAATTTCTTTTATTGATAATTCGTTTATCCTTTTTTTTTTTTTGATCGACGGCGATATCAATTTTTATGTTGGTTGCTGTTGTTTTCATTTATCTTTTCTTAAGGGTTGATTTGACATCGTCACGACTAATCAAGATGACGTTTATCTATAATATTGTTGATCTTTCTTGCTTTGGACAATCGGATTGGATTTGGATACCCGTTATATGTTCATGGATAGTTTTTTCACGTCGCTCGAGTCTGATTTGCAGTTTGTCGGTGGTCAGCTTGATCCCCTTTTGTGGTTCGTTTACTGATGCGTTTAGATCTGTTTGTATATGTCTTTGTTCGAATTTTCTTGGTTAAATTTAATTCTTTCCTTGTATGGTATTAATATGATCTTAAGTTGTTAGTTTTGTTTCAATGATTATAGGAAAATTTTTCTAATTATGTACTTAATTTATGATTATGATTATAAATCTTTATTGTAGTGTAAAATTTTTCTTATTTTGAATAAAGTTAATGATTTATATCAAAAAAATATTATAAAAAACTAATAAATTTATCTGTGTGGTATAAGAATTAAAATAGAGAAGAAAATATTAACAATTAATTGATGAGATAAGACATGAAACCTTTAAGTAAAGATACTGATGATTAAATAAATAAATAAAAACAGAGAAATATTATTTTTGGTTTAACAAAAGGCTCACTTTTATTTTATTTTATTTTAAAATCTACAAATATAATTTAACGCATAAACAACCCCAAAAGCTGAAACAAGCGAAAATGCCAACTTTTAGAACCATGGGAGCTTCTACAAAAGCTTGGAACCGAGAAAAGAGAAAATCAAGCATCAATCTCTGCAGCAGGCCGTCCAGTTACTTCCCAATGAACATTGCCGACGAAATTTTCTTGTTGCCGACGATCTTGTAAGTATCGTCGAAATCATCTTCGTCTTCCGGTACATCGAGGCACGATCGTTGTTGGTTATCGTCGGGATTCGCAAGGCTACAACTTTGGCCATTGCAGGATTGGACCAAGAATGAGCCGAGGATGAGTGTTACGAAGATGAAAGCAATCATTCTTCTTGTTACGGCCATCGGCTTCTTCTTTTTCTTTTTGTCGGTCTTATGAAAATGATGGAAGGAACAACAATTAATTAATTGTTTTGATGGGATTTTGATGAATCCAAAGTGTCTTCTGCTTTGAGTTTACCATTCATAAACACTACTGATTAATATTTATATATAATTTGTTGCCTTCAGCTTTGAGCTGGTCATAAGGTAGACCTAGCAATTTCATGTTCTGGTTTTCAAAAGATATCTATATTTTTTTCGAAAAAGGAGGAACAGAAAATCACAACAGAAATAATGTTTAGGATTTTTTTCCATTGTTTTTCAAATATTATCTTCTATATTTTCAAATAATGGTATACTGAGCATTATAATACTTTATTATTTGATATAAATGATATATTTTATAATTATAACAGTCTTTTGCTTCAACATGCAAAGCACCCACTGCAGCAAGGAAGAAGAGAAATCTACCAGGTTTTTATTCGTTTTTCTCAAAATTAATGAAAACATTTTTAGTTTAGGGTTTCAATACAGACCCTGTATGCCCAAGTCATAGCTTTGTCACCCACACATGGTTGACGACAAACAGATTCATATGTTGTCCTCTTCTGTGTAGCTGCGGATTCTGGTCTCTTTGGAACTTTTTGTTGCAGATCTCACGTATGAATCTGTTTGTTGTCAATAATGTCTTACCTGAAGATGTTCCAGTGCAATATGGTAGTCTGAGTCGACCCAACTATTTGCAGAAACCAGCCTTCAAATTCATTGTCAAATGAGGAGAGAAAGTGAACATTCAAATCTGATTTCTGGGTGTTGTTGGTCAAAATGGGTCTCATATGATTAAAATATGTCATGTCAGCTGATTTAACATACTATGTTAGTATTCTATTATCTTAATATCGGTTAATAACGAGTGACTGAATTATTATATATCGATGTATAATGCTAGCGATCAATTTATTAATTTTAAACTTCAGTAGAAAAAATGAAAATTTATCTACATATGTAACCGTTATATAGTTCACCCTTAATTTAAATATGATATCAACATCCTTTTGCATAGCTTTTATTTGTTGTTGAGCGATTTGGATTGCTCTAAACTGTTACTGGAATTGCTTTACTTGACGTTGCAAGTAGGTGAACTGATAAGAATTATAAGTTTGGGGAAAAAATCGTTGATGTTGTTGGGATTGATATTCGTAATAGAAAATTCATAATAATATTAAGGATAAATTATATGTTTAGTACTTAAATTATTTTTTAATTTTAACAATAAATATTAAAATAAAATTTAAGTTAAACATTAAGTATACTTTTAAAAAAATAAAATTTAAAAACCAAAAAAAGAAAAATAAAGTCTAGATATTAAATGAGATGTTTTTCATAAAGCTTTCGTTATTAAAAAAAAAAGTAATGGAAGTGGTTTGGGTATAGGTGAGAGTGAGGACAATTGATGTAACATCCATTTCCCGTATATATTATTGCATAAGTATAGAATATCACATAATTCTTGTAATAGTCTTTATTCGAAAATCAGTAAAATTTTATTTCTTTTAAAAATAATTCAGCTAGTATCAATAATCATAAAAATTTTCATCTTGATAGCAGTTAAAATCACTTACATAAAATATTAATGAGCAAACCTTTATTTATAAACAGTAATAATAAATACTATCATAACCAAATTCAAACATAATTATTTTTAAGCATCACAACCATTTAGTATATCATTATAAAATTTTACTGATTTTCGAATAAGAATTGTTTTTTTAAATACAAATAAGGATTGTATTAAAAGAATTATGTGACATCCTGAACTTGAATGCGATAACGTATACGAAAAATGAGTGTTACAGTTCATAAGCTCGTTATTTGTATTAACATTATTGAATTATTTTAACCGCATAATTGATTTAATATTTCCTATTTGTCATATTCTCACTGCATCAAAAATAATGTCTAACTAACATTATTTATAAAATAAATAAATTTAATAATTATTATAAACTTTATATCAACTTTAACAATTTATTATAAAATTAGCATAAATCATCTAGTTTCACCCTTTTTACAATAAGCTGTTATTAAGGACGGTATAATGCTTAAAAAAACACATCTAATATAATTAAACTTTTAAATATAAAAAATGATTTCGCAAGTATCTTTTAAGATAAAAAAACAAAGGAGGTATACCCTAGCCTATCCAAAGCATCAACAGTTAGCCTAAAATTGTATTTACCAGCAGCCACCAGAGCTTGTCAGCAGAAGAACATTGAGCCCGCCACATTCTTTTTCAGCCGTGGCAGGTCTGGAACAATGATACTTCCTGCCGATGTTTCTGAAAGTTCATCAAACTTCAAAAATTGCCCCACTTGATGTGCAGCGTGGTGAGCATAACAAATTGGAGCCACTGGACAAGGGGGAAAAAATCCAACATCATTAAACAATAATGAGAATGACCATTAAGATGATTCATACAGACTTGCTGAATGTGAAATCGGGGAATGATACGGGGAAAATACCTATCGAGACAGCTGTCGTGCTTCTTTGGTATCTGCATTCGCGGAAAAAGAATAATAATTGATTAAAAACATTTGGTTCGTTTCTACGGCATTAGAGATGGCAGATGCAGCTTGACTGCTCGAAAACTTACACGTAGGAAAGTGCATGGATGAGATTCTGCAAGTCATTAGGAGAGAAACCTATCTCATCTAGCAAGACATGGTAATGAGCTGGCCTAGATGTTCCCTGTTAGAGACGAAACAACGCAACGGCAGAGTAACCATTAATCGATAAAAAGATCCTTTTTTTCATAACGCAACGAGATTGAAGAGACCTCTTTTTTAGTAACAGTAAAACTTACAATCATCCCAGCATGAGAACACATGTAGAAATCATAGTTTCTTGGATGCACAATTTTTGTGTCCACAACTGTCCCTGATGAGGAGAGAGACGGAATCAGCTAAAGTCATCAACTAGAAAGGAAAATGAAATATCAGGAGCAGCAAACCTGGTGGAACATTTTCAGGGGCATTAGCTTGGAATAATTTAGTGTGATGATTCTTCTGCGCAACTATTACAGTGAACTTTGGAACATCCGAATCGCCCAGATGCTGATATGCCTGTATAAAGGAAGTTCAACCATCTAAGAATTAACTACTACCGAGAAAAGAAGAGGTCCTTGACTAAGCCTTTGCAGAACCTGAGAACATAGGAAAGTTCTGGACAAAATAGTAAGACAATGGTACTTCTCACAGCTTATTAGAAACATCAAAAAACGTGTATCCCTTCCCTAGGGTGGTGTTGGTTTAGTACCTTGATTATTTGCTCCAGCTCAATGTTTAATACTTGGTTAAACTGTGATTCACTTACTCCATCCCTAAATTAAAAAACAATTTTTTAGACAATTAAGTGATAAACAAGTAATTCAGAAAGAAATAAGGAGAGTAAAAGACAATGGGAAGGCTATTTACATCCTGTTGGTATCAACCCATAATAAAAGTTATGCACATATTAATAGCGCATCAAGAAACATAATAAATAAATAAAATTACAATTTAATGCATTGTAAGACTGGCATTCAAAATTAAAGATAATTATATAGGAAATTAAGTGATGAGCAATTAAATAAAAATAATTATTTCCATTTTCCTTTCACATCTTAAGAAGCAAATTACTGGCTGAAGAAGCTTAAAAGGCCAGTGAATGGAGATGATTAATTTAAATTCAAACCATCTAACTCATATTCAAACAATAATGTAATACAAACACCGAAAATCTATAAGCATAAGTGTACATACCTGAAGACAATAATCTGTTTTGGTTTGCGAGAACCACTTGTCCTATAGAAATCAAGAAGCAATTCCCTTGCAACACAGAAAATAAACTCGATTCTTTTATTTAAATTAGCCTCAAAAGCATATTCCTCATTTTAATCTTACATCACAAGAGAAGCCAAGCGTATATACATCCTGTTGCTATCAACTCATAACAAAAGTTATGAGTGTATTAATGGCGCATCAAGAAGCATGATAAATGAAAAACTACATTTTAATGCATTGTAAGACTATCATTCTGGCATTCAGAATTAAGAATAAGTATATAAGAAATAACTTCAGAGATGGGGTAAAAACTGTTTATTTGACTGATATTCATCTGGGGTTTGTCCGTAACATAACCACACGAACAGAAATTCTTTCAAATCATGTAAAAGAATAAATCTGAACCATCGTAAAATACTTTAGTAATGAATATCAAAGCCCTTAAAGGAAAAACAGAGCAATCACTACACATGGAGTTCATGATATGGTTTTACTAGATTACCTGATAATACCATCATCAACCTTTCCATCTGGTGATGGTTTATATAAAGCTTCAATCATCTCCATCTTTGGTGATTGTGTTCTCACAGATGCTCTGTACCTTGAAATCAAGGGCCAATGGAGCGAGCCAACAACCTGATAGATAAAGTAGATTTTAACAGTTTGATATCGCCTCACAAAATTAGGGGAATAGATATAATGCTTTAAAAAAATTCAGAAACTAATTACTGCAGCAATTGATGGGACATCTGATCGACCAGGGGCGCCATGAGAGACATCCATTCCCAAAATCAATGTAGGATTATCTTTAATAAGCGGGAGATTTGAGGGTCTCTCTATTTCCAGCAAGGAATTGATTCCTCCAAGCTATACAGAAGACGCATAAGGTAAATATCATTGTGCATCTGAGGTGTAGATCAACAGAAAAGTTAAAACAAAACTTTATTTGTTCCTGGGAAAATGCATCGATTTAAGCTTTTACCTTTGAATTGATTTTAAGGAGCACATTTGTGAGGTATTGATCAGTAATTTTTCCAGGGGAAATGCATTGTGTGACAATTCCCATATCACAAAGACATTTTTTCTTCCAAGGTCCTTGACAAAGCATGGAAAATGTCAATTGAATAATCAAGTAAAGAAACCAACCCAAAAAGCCTTACCATATATATCAGAGTTTTTTCTCACTGGCAAGACACATAGAATGAAGTCAGGAGGACCAGGAAGCTTTGCTATTATCTGCTCAAACATTGCCTCCACTCTAGCAGAAGGGCTAGCTTTAGCAGCTTGCTGTCTGTCCTCCTCAATCAATGTGTGTGGGCGTTCCATTTCCTTCATGTATGGAAAATTTTGTATAAGAAAACAATTATACTAAACAAGTTATATAGCAGCATGACAGCCAACTTATGGAAACCTACAATGCCCTTGTTTCTTGCACAACTGATTAGATCCCTTGAAATTTTACTGAGGTCACAGCGAGCAGAGAAGTTGACACCAATCCAACGTTCAATTCTTTTTGGATCCAAAAGTCTCTGCATGGGAATGGAGAGAACATACATATATAAATGTATGAACACAAAACATTATATCAAATGCCACAGGATGACAACCAGAAGTGAGAAAAACTCTGAAGCACAGCATCTTGCAAGTAAAATTGAGACCAACAAAGTAGACTGACATAAAAGATCGGGGATGAACAGAAACCTCTCTTAACACTACCTTGTTGTTAAAGTTCCAACGTCCATTTCGTGGGATGCAATCCTCGTGATTACCAACCTTCAACTGTTAATGACAACAAAGATATCTTGTTATGATGTACCAACTATGTAAAAGTTCTCTTTTCTCTCTTTCTCCTTACATAAAGAGGCAGTAGTAAAACGTACCCTTGGAGTCTCAAGGATCCGACCATCAACTTCCGTCAATTGCCTACCTATGGAAATTCCACATTCAACAAGTACAGGGTTCTCATTGAATTTGTTGTTTTTCAAAGCCTGCCAGTTTATAGAAGTGTAAAATTGTGGTATTCAAGACACAATAACACAAGGTTATGCCATAAGGACAAAGAAACGTACATCACTCAGAGTTTGAATTCTTTCCCGAGGCTTTTGCCTAGATCTTTCTACCAGGGTTGCTCTTTGATTCGAAGATAACGCTTTTGTATACCGCTGAAGTGGAACAAGTGAACAGAGCTAGAACGCAATAAAATTATATGTCAATATCTAAGACGTGATAACTCTGTAGTGTAATGAATTAAAAACACAATGTTTATAAAGAGTAACAAATTGACAGACCTCTAGCGGTAAATAGTTGGGACACTTTGGTTTACCAACAGCAAGGCATGGCATGTCCGCAGAATATGTAAGTTCGATTCCACAATGTTTGGTGAAATACTCATACACTGTGATATCAACAGTCTGTGCCTCACCAGAGTCACCATTTTTAACTTTCATCGGGAAGCTAGATGAGATAAAAGACAGAAATACAACCAGAATCAATAATCTTTCATGGAAAAAGAACACAGATAGAAGTTGTGAAAAGAAAAAATATCCAGCAAATGAGCACATACTATAGCTCAGAACAGGGCTTTTCACTCAGACCAACTATTTTGAATTCCATGTTACGGTGTACTGTTTTAATCCTCAAATTCCTCAATAATCGCTTGGCCTGTAGAATTTATAAGTTCAATGTTCAGACAGCATGTAATGAAGATTTTTGTTGTTGATTTCTTACCTTCATCCAGAATCGTTCATCCTTTAGATTCAAGTTCTGTTTTAGAAACTCAAATACCGGTCCAGGCCTTAAAATCATAGTAGTAGTTGTATCTGCAACAAAAAATTAAGAATTAAAAATAATGGCAAGAATCAAAAGTTTTTGGATCAAAGCGAAAATACAATGAATAAAAATATACCCATATTCAGAGATAAGCCCCCTTGAGTGGGACGAAAACTGGAGTGGAATCCACGAAGACCCAATACACCTCCTTCAACATCAACATAATTCCTTGAATCATCTTGAAAGAAGGATTGTCTCACCAAAAGGCACCCCCTAAAATACAAAAACTTGCATTAAAATATGACAGGCCAAGCAGCACACACAGATATGCGAGGGAAACACATATGGTTCAGTGAAAATGATTAAGGTCTTGAACCAAATACCGGTCCGCAGCTTGTTGCCTTAAGATGATGTCAAGTACTCTTAAAGCATCCTGAGCTCTATTATCTGATTCAACTCCACTGAGGGCAATAGATATTGACTTCAAAGGTATTTTAGCAGAATAGCTTAGTTCTACTATGTAAGTCTTTGACTGGAAAGAACGCTTTGTCCTCTTGCCACTCTCAGGAGGGCCAACATCAGCATCAGGATTCCTGGTTTCATAACCAGACAGTGAGTGGTTGTTACAAAACTTTTAATATCAAGATTCTAATACTTTCAAAATCTAAGTTCAGCTAGAAGTGAAAGAATATACCATTTTGCAAATGATTCCTCCAGTACTATTGTAAACTCAAACTTGTTCTGTGGCAAAGGACCCACTGTATACAAACTTTTTTCACCATCATAAGAGAATCTTTTTCCAGCAAGTTCTGAAGAGTATGTTTGGTAAAGCTTATCAACAAGTTTTCTCCCAATCCGCTTGTTTTCAACAACTCTCCTATCTTCTGAAGAAATGGTAACCTGCAATTCATATTTTAGTAAATGTTCGTCCATAAAAGTTAACATCCAGGGAAAAAACAGAATGGAAACACAAAATAAACCTACAGTATATTGGTAAAATACAGCATTTGTGGCATTGAGAGAAACTTTGAAGTGATTAGCAAGCAAGGATATCTTTCGTCCACTAGTCCCAACCTCACGCCTACTGACAATAGAATACTTGGGAGGCTTCAAGCTCTCTGGCTTCACATTGGATGGTATTGTTGGTGGCGGTGGAGGCAAAGATGGGGATTTAAGTTCTTCTTCAGTGCCTCTTCCTTTCTCCATCTAGAGATCAATGAGAGAGGACATTACCATTTACTACATTGATAGAATTAAGCAGCAACACTAATTACAAATATAGTGAGCATGCAAGCAACTAAGATGTACAAGACTACACAAACTTTATGGTGTGGCAAAATGTCAGTACACCCTTCAGTTGTTCAGGACCCAACAATGGAGGACAAGCGGGGTGGAAAAAGTAAAAGAAACAGACGGTACAGAATTGTTTAGCAAATACAGCTTATTTTAAGAAATAACAACAATGTAAGAGCTTCTTTCAATGAAATATCTTCTTAGTTAAGAGTTTTTCAGCTCGGATTAACAAAATCAAATGAAACTGAAATATATATATAGTCAAAATCGATTTGACGATGCTTTAACATATAGGAATTAAACAGCATTGTCGAACAAAAACAAATAGCAGAATATTAAAAACAGAGTCTCAGAATAACCAACAACGTGAAACAAGAAACTAAGTTAAAATCCACATAGATATACAAATAGTCGTGGGGAAGAAAAAAAAGAAAATCCTAAAGAAACAAAAAGCAGAGCATTAAACAACAATGCAGTTTAAAATCGGCATAAAAAATCAAAAAGAAAAAAAACATGAACAAGAAAATTTCCAAAAAAAGAAAACACGAAGAACAACTATCAACATTCAACAAAGAATCAAAAGAAAAGAGCGCGAGAAACCACAAACTAGAGATAGAATTTCTAGGGTTTTGGGGGAGACCGAACAGAAGAAGAAGAGAAGGGAAGAGCTGAAGAATCGGGTCTTTGGCTCGGAAAAGAGAGCGACAATGAAGGGTCTAAGGGAATAGTATTGAAATAAATACTTTTTCTATTACCTTATATTGAAATAAATACTCCCAGTAAGGAGAAGGGGTCTTTTAGTATGTAGTATTGAACACTTTAGGTTTTAATATTCGGGATGATCTACACCGTTGATCATTTTAATCAGAATATTATTTTACTCGATAGATCTTCCCTTAATTGGACAGTAATTCCTTCCGTTTAACAATCCTTGTGCAACCCTAATTGCTAAAAGGATCAGACCGTTGATCCTATTTGGTTTAAGAAAGGTTTAACTATGAATATTAATCAACGGCCCAGATCCATTCCTTCTGTTCCAAGTAAATGATACAATATTACCAATGTTAATTAAATCATGATTTAAATTAATGTTTTAATTCTTAATTTTTGTTAATTAAAGAGGAGGCCTCAGTCATTATATCAGCTAGTCTTATAACGTAGATACAAGGATCATACAAATATCTAAAAAGATACGTCTCTAAAAAATTAGATACAGTATTGAATATAACCAAAGACTCATCCGGGGAAGTAGGAACTTTGACAAAGCCCTCATCGACTATATTAACTTCATCTCGAATCAATAATAAGTCCACCATGCATGCTTTATCTCGGAGTCTAGCAATTGCTTACACGAGCGAGTAGATGCCAGAGGATGCTAAATCATAGGAGATAAACTTGAAGATCTTCATATTTATTTACTTGGAGTTGAATCTTCTTGAAATGATAAACCAAAGTTAGCTTAAGGTCCTCATAGTTCCGCTTGAAGCACTAATGTAACACAAAGATGTTTATTGAAGCACACCATGAAGTTTCCGTCATGATCTCGTATAACATCACTTATCGAAAAGGTCCGAAGAATACACCATTGTATCATCAGTGTTAAAGCAAAACCATCCATCATGGGGACTTGCCATTAGACTTCCTCTAGGGTACGGTTGAGATGCCCAGACTTAACCTTACAGCTATTGGAGTAGTTCTTCGCCCAATACATGGATGTATGGAACAATGCATCAATAGAGATATATCAGGGATGAATTGATATGACTCACGATTGGCTCTTTTATGTAGAACATAAACTTCAAGATAGATACCTAAATCTACCACTAACTGAAAGCGAAACGAGAACAGTCATCTACAAAGAAGAGGTGATAGATTGGAGAGTTATTTCGTGTAAGTCCAAATGACGTCCAACAACCTCCATTGACAAAATGGGCAATGCTGTGTCAAAGCCTTTCCATGGTAGGGATGAAAAGGTAAGGCGACAAAATCTCTTTGACATATCCCTTTTTTGGTTTAAATTCTCCACTAAGGCTCATATTCCATTGAATATGCATGGAAATGGAGGTAGAATATTTTAACAAAACTCGTCTCGACTCGAAAAACCAATTTTTTCGACTTGTTTCAATCTAGAAAAATTTCAAATTCAAATCAAGTTATAAAATACAACTTGAATAACTAGAAATTTTTAGTAATTAATAGATTGATTTTCAAGTTTGAGTCGAGTCCCTCGACTTTGTATGATATATATATTTTATATGGTTAAAAAATCATTTAATTGAAATCAAATAGTATCATAATATTATAAATATTTACAATTAAATTCAAATAGAAACTCAAAAACTCGACTCGACTCGAAAAATTTTCAAATCAAGTTTGAGTTATAAAATAGAACTCGTCAACTTGAACAACTCAAAATTTTTTACTCGACTCGATCGAACGCTCAACCCTAAGTGGAGGAGATACAGTGCATAATTGAATATAAAAGGGAAATAGGGGAACTTGTTTCCTTAAGGGAGTTCTCGATAAAATCACATCGAATACGATTATTAGGGTCGTAAATGAGACAAGTCGAGTTTAAGTATTGTTAAGTTCAATTTAATTTGAAAATTTTAAAATTAAGTTCAAATTGACTAAAAAACTCACGACTTTAAAATTGTCAAGTTCGACTCGAAATCAAAAATTGAAGTTCGACTTGAGCTTGAAAGGGTTTGAACTCAAAACATTTTCAGACTTAGTTTGGCTAAAGATCAAACTCGAGCACGAATTTAAACCTTAAATGTATGAAAACCTTATATTATATTTAAAAAAATATAAATTTTAACATTATTAACAACTTAATTTAAAAAAGATTGAGTTGCTTGTGAGCTTTTCGAGTTAAGTATCAATTAAATCGATTCAGCTTGTTAAAAACTCGAGTTGAGTTCGAGCTCAAATTGAGTCTATTTGAGTTGAGTTCAAACTCAAATCGAGTGTTGATCAAACTTTGAACGAATCAAACTCAAATAACTTACAATCTGTCTCGTTTCATTTAGAATCCTAACCTTGATCATGCTACACTTGTACAAGATTACTGACAAAACTATAAGTCTATTTCACACCATAGTTTTGTTGGGAACTTTAAGATGTTCTAAGAGTGAGTATTCGATCGAGTCTATTGGAGTCGAGTTAAAAATTTTGAGTTATTTAAAATTATTAGTCTAATCAAGTCGAATTAAATTGTTGAACATCAAGTAAAAAAATTAATTTTTAAGATCGCCATTCCTAATAATTTTACTAAAAAAATAATTGTTTTCAATGTCAATAAGTTTTAACCAGTGAGAAAGCTTCCAAATATTATAAATACGGTTCTGTAAGGTATTGTATCCTACTCGACAAAAACCTTAAGGATGTGTTTGGTTCATGAAATGTAGCATTATTTCTAAGAATAGGATTACCGGATTGTAACATTACCTAATACATTACTGAGAATGTTGCATTGTTGTGTTTGTTTTGTTTAGCAGGAATGTAAGATTATAGTGTTTAGTTAAATGAATAAAAGATTATTGGAATGTATATTTTACCAAATTGTCCTTATTATATATTTATTTTTTAACAAGTTGAATTCTAAATATTCAAATGAAAATATTTGTATAAAAGATCATAGAAATTTACTATTTTTAATTTATATATTTTATTTATAAAATTTAAATTCATAAATTTTATATAATATTTTAAAAAAATTTAACCTCATAACGTTATATAAAATTATAATTGTATACTTTTTGTAAATCTAAAACAGTTTAAGGATAAATTTGTAATTTAATCTTCGTAGAAAATATTTTTTATTCAACGACATAAGAATTATATTTTTGAAAAAAATGTTTTAAGGGCATTTTAGTCCAAAACAAAGGGAAATGACAAATACCTAAGGGATTAGGAGGAATCACATTCTCGATAATAAGCCCACAAAATATCATTGTTGGGAATGACTTATTACCCCATACTGTGAATATTTGCAATCCAAACATGAGTATCACATTCTGAAAAAAAATCCCCCGATAATCTTCCATTCTCTCATCCAAACGCACCCTAACAACGATAGTGAGATCCTAACTCTTGATGACAAGAGATTACACATATATCGAGAAATCAAAAAGGGGAATATTGTTAATTTATTCGATGAATTAATCAATTTTGACAGTAAATGAATTATTATATTTTTTAAGGTTACAGGTTCAAGCACTATGAATGTCAGGTATATAGGCGTTCAATGTCAAATAATTGAAAATTATCTTTGAACATATATTATTTTATAATTATCTCATATTAATTAAAAAAAGGAACGATTTAGAGTTTCCCACCACTATAATCTAAATCATTATATATATTTAAAAAAATCAAAAAAAAATAAGAAATTGAAACACCTTGTGGTAGACCCCTCTGGACATGTTATTTAGTGGATTTAGTGGATTGAAGAAGTTTATAAATAGTATAAAGATTCAGAGAGACTGAGAGATTGTCTCCTGCCTAGCCTTGCATGATGACTTTTATAGGAGATTTTAATGTTGATGTCAAGCTTTAAGTAGGTGATGGTGATTATTTATAGGTTAAATAAATTTATCTAATCATGTGGGTTTATCGATAATCATATCAATATCTATAGTTAATCAATAATATGAAACTTTGAAAGCTTTGAGAGACACTAAAAGCATAGGTGGAGGAATGACAACGAAAATATAACTAAAAAAACATATAAACATCTAACAAGATGAATTTTAAATTAAACTCTCACCATTCGATGACAATATGTGATAAAATCTCATTTTTTTTAAATCTTTTCATGGCCATTTGAAGGAGGTTTACAGTGGGAAGAGCTCAACTGTATATGAATTTTCTTTTTTTAATGTCTTTTGGATTCTTGAAAGCTTTTCATGACTAATTCGAATCAATTTATGACGTACATTTGATTTTGATAGATGAATCTCTCGATAAAAATTTACTATATACACAATAATAAACATGATTAGTAAAGAAGGGTTATTGATTTGATGTATAA